AAATATAAAAACCCAATTCAAAAATGGGCATCTGAAATGAACAGACATTTCTCAAACAAGTAAAAGCAGCAGATAAATAGATGAAAAAATGTTCAACATCACTGGTCATTTGCGATATGCAGATAAAAACAACACTGAGATTCCACCTCACCCCAGAAAGAATGGCTGCTATCAAGAAATCAACCAATAACAAATGTTGGCAGGGTTGTGGGGAGAAAGGAACCCTTCTCCATTGTTCAGGGGAGTGCAGACTGGTGCAATCACTGTGGAAATCAATATGGAGATACCTCAAAGAACTAGGAGTAGAGGTTCTCTTTGACTCAGCTATCCCTCTGCTGGGTATCTTTCCAAAAGAACGAAAAGATATAATTGACAATGTGAAATAGGAAGAAAGGGGCTAAAGGTGTAGGGAAAGCAGGAAGGATAGGGGAAAGCTAATAAGGGAAAAGAAAAAAATATGAGAAAATGAAAAAATTGAAAGTAAGTTTTTGTAAAGGGGGAGGAGAAGAGGGGGTGAAGGGAGGGCAGGGACAAAGGGAAAAAATGAGAAGCAAGACCTGTCATGTAAAGGTACAAGATCCCAATAATGAATGTAACTGTACTATATACCCAAAATGTACCAATAAATTCAATGAGAAAAAAAAAACTAAAAGAATCATACTACAGTGATTTATGAGCACCCATGTTTATAGAGGCACAGTTTGTAATAGCTAAAACTTGGAAACAAACCAACTGCCTATCAGTTGGAGACTGCATAAAGAAGATGTGGTGTTTCTATAAAATGGAGTACTACTCAGCCATAAAGAATGAGAAACTAGAGTCATTCATAGGAAAATGGATGCATGTTGAGGCCATACTCTTAAGTGAAATAAATAAGACATACATGTGTAAATACCAAATAGTTTCACTGGTGTGAAAAACTAAAAGTGTGAATAAGATCCAAATTATATAAGTGATAATGTGAAATGGGAAGAAAAGGGTTAAAAGTGCAGGAGAAGTGGGAAGGGTAGGGGAAAGGAAATAAGGGAAAAGATAAAAATATGAGAAAAGGAAAATATGGAAACAAAGTCTTTGTAAATAGGAGAGGGTGGAGGGGGTGAAGGGAGAGCCAGGGGTGTGAGGAAAAAATGAGAACCAAGATTTGTCATGTGAAGATACAAGATCCCAGTGATAAATGTAACTGTACTGTTTACTTAAAAAGTACCAATAAACTTCATGGAAATAAAAGAGTTGGTTCTTTGAAAAATAAACAAGATTGATACATACTTAGCCAAAGTATCCAAAAGATAGAGACAATCCAAATCAATGCAACTAGAGATGAAAAAGGGAATGTTACAACGGACACCACTGAAATCCAGAGGATGCACAGGGCAAATTTGAAAACCTATATTCTCACAGGAGAAATTAAAAGAAATGGATAAATTTCTAGACACATATGACTTACCAAAATGGAACTAAGAGGATTTTAAAAACCTGAAATGATCAGTAAAAAGCAATGAGATTGAAAGCAATTATATAAAGTTTCCCAACAAAGAAAAACCCAGGACCAGACAGGTTCACTGATAAATTTTATCACACCTTTAAGGCAGAATTAATCAATGCTCCTCAAATTATTCCATGAAATAGAAATGGAAGGAATGCTCCCAAACTCATTCTATGAAGCCAACATCATGCTGATATCCAAACTGGACAAGGACACAAGAAAAAATGAAAACTATACACCAGTATCCTTGATGCACACAAAGGAAAAAATATTTAGAAGAATACAAAGCAAATTCAATAACACATTAAAAAGATCATACATGATAATCAAGTTGATTTCATGGTAAGGAAGCAAGGATGGTTCAATATAAACAAATCAATAAATACCCTACATAAACAGACCCAAGGATAAAAATCACAAGATTGTTTCAGTTGATGCAGAAAAAGCTTTTGACAAAATTCAAGATTTCTTCATGGTAAAAGCTATGAAGAAACTGGGTATTGAAGGATAATACCTCAAAACAGTAAAAGCCATATATGACAAACCCCAGTCAACATCATTTTGAATGGGGGAAACTGAAAGCTTTTCCTTGAAAATCAGAAAAGCAGCAAGTGTTTCTACTCCTACTACTCCTATTCAGCACAGTACTTGAAATTTTAGCTTGAACAAACAGGCAAGAAAAAGATACAAAAGGGACAGGCAGAAAAGGAAGAAATAAAATTATTCTTGTTTGAGATGATATGATCCTACACTTAAAAGACTCTAAATATTCCATCAAAAGATTCAGAGTTGATAACGTGATTTCAGCAAGATAGCAGGATATAAAATCAGCAGTAAAGGCCAATAGCTTTTCTATATACTAAGAGTGGATAAGCTGAAAAAGAAATCAGAAAAACAATTCCATTCTCAATAGTTCAAAATAAATCTATGGATTAATTTAACCAAGGAAGCAAGGGACCTCTACAATGAAAATTGCATAACATCAAAGAAAGAAATTTAAGAATGCACTAGAAGATTTTAAGGCCTACCATGTTCATGGATTGTCAGAATTGACATTGCTTAAATGGCCTTATTACCAAAAGCAATCTACAGATTCAATGTAATTCCCATTGAAATACCAATGACACTATACAGAACTGGAAAAAAATTCTAACATTCATGTAGAAACCCAAAAGACCCAGAATAGCCAAACAAATCCTAAGCCAAAAGAGCAAGGCTGCAGGCATCCCAACATCCAATTTCAAATTATACCACATAGCCATAGTAACAACAAAAAAATAAGCATGGAACCAACACAAAAATACACACATAGGTCAGCGGAAAGGAATAGAGGAAACAGAAGCAAACCTGCACAACTATAACATCTGACTCAGGACAAAGGAGTAAGAAAATGTATTGGAGAAAAGACAGCCTCTAACAAATGGTGCCAGGAATATTGGAAATCCATATATATAGAAAATTAAAACTAGATCCCATTGTTTCACCATATATAAAAATCAATTTCAAAATGGATAAAAGACCTAGGTGTAAGACTGGAAACTTTGAAACTTCTGGAAGAAAACACAGAACATAGGCACAGGCAGAGATTTCCCAAATAGAACTCCAATAGCACAGGAAATAGTATCAAGAGTCAATAAACAGGACTACATCAAATTAAAGTTTCTGCACAGCAAATGAAGCAACTAATAGAATGAAGAAACAACCTACAGAATGTGAAAACACCTTTGCCAGCCACTCTTTTAGCACAGGATTAATAGCTAGAATTTATAAAGTACTAAAAAAAAAACCCAAAACAATCAAATAGCCAATCAATAAATGAGCAAGGAAACTAAACTGACACTTCTCAAAAGAAGTACAGGAGGCTAATAGATATATCAAAAAAATGTTCAACATCTTTCACCTTTAGGGAGCTGCAAATCAAAACTATACTGAAATTCCATCTCACCTCAGTTACGAAGACCTACCAAAAAATAAACACTGGGAAGAATGTGGGGGTAAAGGATCCTTTCTCTACTGCTTTTAGGAATGTAAATTAGTACAGCCCCTAGGAAATCAATATGGAGGTTCTTCGAAAAACTATAGACTACCCCTTAGGCCAGGGATTTAGCTCAGTGGTGCCTTTGCCTGCCTTGCAAGTACAAGGTCCTGAGTTTGATCCCTGGTACCAAAACAACAACAACAACAACAACAACAGAAATAGACTACCATTTGATGCAACTATACTACTCCTTGGTATGTACTTGAAGAAGGTAAAGTTAGCATACTATAGGGATACCAGCACACCAATGAGTATTGCAGCGCAATTTATAATAACCAAGATATGGAGCTAGCCTAGGCGCCTCTCGACAAATGAATAAAGAAAACATGGTTTATATACACAATTGAGCATTATTCAGCTGTAAAGAACAAAATTTTGTCATGTGCAGGAACATGGGTGGATCTGGAGATCAGCATATTGACTAGATACTATCACAAGTTCTCCCCAATATATGGAATCTGAAAATGATGACACAAAAGTATAATGGAGACTATTCTACTTTAATAGAGGAAAACAATAAGTGGGAGAGGGACTGGAGTGTAAGGGAGAGTGATGAGAGGATGAATATGATCAATATATATGTACTAAAATCCAGTATTTGATAAAATTAATAGGTACTTATACAAAATGAAAAAAATTTGAGAATAAAAATTAGAAATACAGTACCTAGTCATTTTATTCTTAATATGCACTGTACATTTCCCTGTTATTTTTATAATTATTTTTAATGTCAAAATAATATTATACTGTAGTTAAATTCTAATGTGATAAATTTCTTTCTTATTGCTGGACATTGTTATGTTCTTGTGTACTTTTTTCTTTACTTCCATGAAGTAGAATCACAAGATTAGAGTTAACATATTTTAAGACATTAGATATATTTTATCAAATAGTTATGCAAAAATAACCTCTCACTAACAGTATATGAGAATATTTCAACTTGTGGCAATACTGCAAATATTAAATGTTTCATGAAAGAGAAAAATATATGCAAACTTGGTAGTAAAATAGTATTTTATTGCAGCTTTATTTATATTTGTCCAAATACTAATTATATTTATCTTTCTGTTTTTGTTTTTCTACCAACTGTGTTCATTGTTTCCATTTTTCATTCAATCAATGAAACTATTATGTTTTATATTTTCCATTAAAACAATAAAATATTCACTAGAGTTCATTTTATTGGATTGATCTAAATGTTTTAAAATATTCTGAAAGCTATAGTTAGTTAGAAAAAATATAAAGCATGTGTTCATAAATCACCATGTACAGATATTATAGTAAATATATTCTCTAAATAACATAATTTGTTTTGTTACACTATTAGTGGAATGTATATCACAGATACATGGTTTTATCTTCAAACCTAAATACATTACTCTTATGTTAAAAGGAAAATAGGACAATTAAAAATAACTCTGACAAACAAATTTTAGTAGACTATGTTAGAATTGTTGAAAAGTAAGTTCTTTCATTTACCTCTTCAAGGACTTGATTATTGCTTTCACCTCTGTCTCTGCCTCTTTTTCCTATAAAGAAAATATGAATGCATAATGAAGTCTCATACATTTATCCTAGGTACTTTGAAATGGATTATGATTGAGTGCAGGTATATTTTTCCAAGGTCACTACAACGAAACAGTGGCTTTTTCAGGAGAAGCAGGATTCAGATCTACGAGAATGTGGGTAAGGTGTACAACTATTCCTAGACTCTTCCTCCACCGGATCTGGAGTGCTGGGATTCAGGAAGGGGAAAGCCTTTCACAGTGAAAGCTGACACAATGAAAACAGAAGCATGCTAATATTACTGTTTTCTCCTTAACTATTATATGAAGGAGTCCTAGGTCCAGGAGCAGAAATTTGAAAAAAAATCTAAGATTCCACTGTCAGAATCCAATTTTGTCATTGACTTTATCAAAGTACCTTATACTGAAGATTACTATAAGTCTGTTTGTCATAGAAAGGTGATTGATGTCACTTCAAAAGATTATAGGAACCCAAAAATATAATTTCCCCCAAAATTAGCACATATATCACTATATAACAAAATTTTTTATATATTTAAGTATTCTCAGTACACTCAAGGCCAATAAACAAAGCTGCCACCAGTTAAAAACTTTCAGGCCACTAACGAAGTCATTATTTCATTTAGCAATCATTTTATACTGCCTTAGATATAAGAATCCTTTTTATTTAAAAAATGGAATGTTTCTCAGGATTTGAGGTTATCACCCCAAAGTCAAGGAAAGTCCATGTAAAGAATAAAAATCTGTAGTTTCAAATTCTGGGAATGTAAAGCTGCTTACATGTGAATCTAGCTCTAAAGACCAACTGAGTGACACTCCCAATATCAAGTGGCAGTGTGATGGGATTAGAGCTCCCTGATGAAGGACAAAAGACATGTCTATAAATGACTAATGCAAGAAAGAAGTCACAAAGGCCACAAGAAAGAGGTAGGGTTTTTTTTGGTGCTGGGGACCGAACTCGGGTCCTTGCACTGTGAGGCAGGCAACGGCAGCACTGAGCTAAATTCCCAGCCCAACAGGCAGGTATACTATACAAGTTCACAGAAGGAAGACAAAACTAATGGCCATGCTGACTTCACTGTAATTTGTGGTACTGGTAGACATTTCGGCAATGAATACATTGGTCAGCAAATCACCAATGAGATATATTTCAATCTGAAAAAACTTTGTAGAGATATATGGTTCTACATACAACTAACTTCATTCTATGTTCTCATTAAAAAAGAAAGTAAAATATCAATGACTATACATTTAGTACTTAGAAAAGAATTGTTAGGAATACAAATATAGATAGCACTAGGAAAAAAAAGATAAGGTGAGAAATATTTTCTCAGGCTATATTTCTTATTACAGAAATAGTTCCACAGTATCCAAATTTCTTAGTTACATTTGTTACAAACCCTGCTTATTGTCATTATCCACACTACTTCTTATTTGTATGGAATAAGTGTTTTGATTCTTTCTATGAATCTTTATTGAATGGTAATATGCTAGGCAATATACATAGAGAAATAAAATGGTGAATGAAACATACTTGGTTGCTACTTTAATGGAACAATCACACAACTAAATATATAATCACAACCATGCTGAATGACATAAAGGAAAAGTACTAAGGACAACCAACCCTGCTGGGAATTCCAAACATCCAGAAGATACATTTCTATAGCCCCAGATGTCGTGCATGCATTCAGGGAAGGGACCCGGTGGAGTCCTACTGACCCTCTTTAGAGCCACAGGCATGGATACATCCTCCATGTAGAGATACACGGCAGATCGTGTTGCGCTTCCCTTTGTAAGCCCTATGACTGCACAGGCAAACCAATCTTTGCTCTCTCCCCTTGTGCCTCTGTTTATAACCGGTGACGCACTTCACCCATGCTACCATATTATACAGTTTTCAGTCTGCCTCTGATACCATCTGATATCAAATAGGAGGATGCAACTTCAAATTTCCATAACCAATTATTTATACCTCTCTTAGTACTTCATGCTCTCTACCTTGAGGTACAGTTACCTGGCTGTATGCCAACCACATGTGCTCTTCAATTATAAGCTCCCAGAGGGCAACAGCATGGCTTCTTTATAGAAAAGACCACAACAAATGCTTCATGTATGATGCCAACAGAGAGCACAAGGAGTGTTTTCTCTGAGGCATTTTTTTTGTTATGAATTAGAGGATGACAATATTTGGTGGCATAAGAAGGGAACAGTAATAAGAACCAACATATATCGTGTACAGGTACACATTCCCTATGATGCACTATGATTCCCTATAAATGCACCAATAAACTTAATTCATTAAAAAAATGAGGGAACAATAAAACATATTACCTATTTCCATTGTTCCCACCATACCAGTGAATGGCTCTTAGGGGTGCAGACTGAGCCTTAACCCTGAAGAAAGCCTAAACTGTATAGCATATCCAGAACCCTGAATTACTAAATAAAAGGGCAAGAGGCAATACAATAGTTTCTGTTTTTATTACCAGAAGGTGCCTTCAAATCAAGAGACTATTAATGCATATTTTTAATCTTTTTCATGGCACTGGTAGCCATACCCTGCCCTGAGCTGTGGCCTGAGGATGGTAACTCCATCTGCATTTGCCGCGCTCTGAGCCAGGCAAATTGTCCAGCTTGTTTGCTGCCTACATAGTTTAATCACCAGTTCCTCAGAATTAAAATGTCCTCCCTCCTTCCGAGGGAGGCTTGTCCCATGCCTCGAACTCGTAGACCTACTGTGTATCAGGATGTTTTATCTGCTAACCCATGATCTGTGTGTCCCTTAAAGATCCAAGTAGGCCCCTAGTACTAGTTTATCTTAGACGTAAAGCAAAATTTAAGACTTCACAGTACATGAAAAATCGAAGTCAAAATGCTTTAATATAAAATAAAATACCATCATGGGAGCAGAAAGTAGACAGGTGATGGTCAACAATGCCCCATTTTCTCCCAGTGGTTGAAGGGTACCAACTTAAAAGATGATTAAGTTCTGGTGATCTACTGTACAGTGTGATGATTATAGTTAATAATACTATATCATATACTTTAAATTTGCTAAGGATAAATATTTAGTTTCTCAACAGTCAGAAAAGGTAACATGTGGTGATGGATATGCCAATTAGCTTGAGTGTGGTAATCCCTCCACAGTGTATACATATATCAAAATATCAAGTTGTATACCTTATTATCTATATTTTTTTTCTTTATTTTGGTACCAGGGATTGAACTCAGGACGTTGTGCTTGTGAGACAGGTGCTGTGCCTCTGAGCTAAATCCCCAGCACCATATCTATAATTTTTATATGTCAATTACATCTCAATAAATCTGGAAAAATAAAAGTAAATATAATTTAATAAAGAAAGAAAATTCCAAGTATACTAAGTCAGTTCAGATTTTAAGCTTGAATGGAGTTGATGAGACACTAGCACTCACTGCTACTATCTAGACTTACCTCTTTGGTAACAGTGGGAAGTAATAATGCCAAATTACAGAACTTCCAAGCATTCTGATTTTCCTCAAGATCTGCATAACACTAGAAATGAAAAGTAATCATATTAAAAGGAATCACATTTTTATGTCATGGATTCAAAGTAATATTTAAAAGAGTGGTTTTCATTACCTTGGCCAAGTACATGCAATTGAGTATAGAATAACCAGGATGTATTTCTTCAACCTGATTGGAGAGAAAAAGGACAAGCAGTCGACAGGGAAATATTACAACAACAAAAGCCACAAGTGAGGAGGATATATTTTGGTATATTAGATCTTCTTATCCAAACCGGCTGCAATAACTTAGGTGGTTTTCCATTGAATCATTTTAAGTATCTTTTGGGTAGAAACATAGTTTTTACCATTGAAATGAAATTTATCAGTACTGTCATAAAGCTTACAAAGAAGGTTTTGTGATTCCTTTATATAATCATTGCCCCTAGACCTCCATCTCTATCCTTTCTCTTTTTTTTTTTTTCCTTCCAAAACCAAAAAATAATTGGTGATTTACTTTTCCCAGGACAGGTACTGTCCATTTCACAATCTGTTCAGTAAATGAGGATATAGTGACACTGATACCCCTGGCAAGCATCTTCCACTAGGTTAGTATCTATTTCTGATCTCAACACATTACATGTGAGTTGAGTAACATCAGAATCCAGTCTTGTCAAGTGCTTGCAGAAGAAAGGCAGACCCTAGAAACCAATTCAATTAGACATAAGTGCTTTGAAGGAACTTTATTCCTCATTTAATGTTTTTTTCTATATCAGTTCCTTATCTCTGGGAGATTAGAATTTTTTTCTTAGACAGCTCTTTTTAGATCCCAAATCAATTTCTGCTTCAGAGGCAGATTCTGTTGGTGTGTAACTGGAAGCAAGTAAGCGCTCAACCTGTCCATGATTTCTTACCTAGAGGGCTGCAAAACATAACGGAAGACGGACACTTTTAAAAATGTATCCCCAAGATGCTTGTTTTATAAGTTACAAACAAGCCAGACATTTCTAAATTTAAAATGTGAAAGTTTCTCCTTTCCACTTTAATTCTCAACTTTAATCTCATTCCCCAGGAATAACCACTATCAATAGTGTGACATGAATCCTACCAGATCTTTGTTAAGTATGGGAAAACAAAAAATAAATAATTGGATTTTGAAAGAAAATGTAAATCGGGAACATTTTCTATCCATGGGTCCAAAACTTGTATTTTCCCTAGAAGTCATCACAGACATGGTTTCATGCTAGCCTGCACGGACCTGTATCATTGTCTCAGAGCTACAGTTCATACTATGCAAATATAGCAATTAATTAAGCATTTCCCATCCAACATTTAAATTTATTCTTAATTTTCACTACTACCAATAATTATCAAATTGTATATTCGCTTCTCTATGCCTCTACACATGTACACTTGCATCTGTAGGAGATTCCTAGAGGTGGTAGAGATGAGAGTGAGCCAGGTAGTTTGGTTCCAGAGCTGGTTCTCCTTACCTCTCTACATTACTGTGCTATTTACTATGTTTGATTTCATCTCTGTATTATTTCAGGCATGTGAGCATTTCAAGAACTTTCATACAAGGTTCTGAAACACCAATCCTCAGTGATAACTGTGACATTAAGAGAAAATGAGTTTTGAGTTCAAATACTGTTTAAAAAAAGATAGTTTTTTTCTAAATAACTTTTTTTTTTTTTTTTTTTTT